TTTTTACTTTCTATTTATATTTATCAAGTTTTGTTGAATTACTACACTACCCCTCATTCATTTATACCTACACTTTAAGCCACCAAGGGCTTTATTGTATTTTCCTACTTATTTATTCAAAACATTACAGTTAGGGTGTGCCTATATTTGTAGAAATTCATATCATCTGGTTGTGGAAATTCCTCGTTTATACACTCGTCTGTTTAATAATCTCTTCAAGGCTCAACTATGTTATTAGATTCATTTGTTAAATTATGCATTATATCATGTTCAAGTTTCCCTCGTCAGATTCTGATCCTTAATCCATGTTTAGAAGTTCAAGCAGGACCATCTTATTCTTTGGGAAACTAAATCCATTCCATTTTATTTTATTTTTTCCAAATTCTCGTTAGAAAAGGATAGAAGTTTCAAGCAGAGAGTGTTCGTTAGATTCTGAACCTGCAATAATCTTGACCACAGTTATCCTGCGCAATATGTTGAGGCAATTTCTACCGTGCCCTTTTAGCTCTTTATTAAAGGGGAAATATATTTCCATCTTTCTTATGTGGAAAGAGGGAGTCGAATGACTTGTTTGTTTCTTGTGAATCCATTCTTGTCTATATCAATGGAAGTGGAGATGTTGTCTTCGAATCACAGCCGTGTTGCTGCTCAGAAACTTCAATGTTAGTCAAGTCTGCACCGTGTGGAGCCTAATCAGTGTAGTTAAAAGACAGCGATTTTAATATTTTGATAAAATTGAACCACCACTCTAGAATCACAAATATTTGAAAATATAATAACCTTTCTCTATTCATGTCCCAGATAGACTAATATATTTGATTATTCCAGGGAGTGAGCAATTATTTTGTCCCTGTGCACTTCTCTTTTCCATAACCAATCTTGCGTTTTCATTTGACAGATTTCGTCCTGTCACAGCCATGTTCCTTCTATGAATCTTCAATTGCTCACAGAATAGCACAGGTAAAGCCCATCACCAAACACTTTCACCTTTTCCGTTTCTCATCTCAAACTGCTCTGCTTTGTCTTCTCAATATTTACTTACCATTTCTTGCTCCCATCCCCTTCTTTTAGTTATCCTTGCAGCTTTTCTACTTCTTCTTGTCAACATCCAATTCATTTCCATTCGAAACCAAGCTATGGCTGATGCAATTCTTTCTGCTCTCGCGAGCACAATCATGGGGAACTTGAATTCCCCAATTCTTCAAGAGCTTGGACTTGCTGGGGGCCTAACGACCGAGCTTGAAAATCTCAAGCGCACGTTCAGAACCATTCAAGCTGTGCTGCGAGATGCAGAGGAGAAGCAGTGGAAGAGTGAGCCTATCAAGGTGTGGCTCAGCGACCTCAAGGATGCAGCTTATGTTGTTGATGATGTACTGGATGAGTTTGCAATTGAAGCTCAGTGGCTTCTGCAGCGAAGAGATCTCAAAAACCGAGCAAGATCCTTCTTTTCTTTTGGTCATAATCCACTAGTTTTTCGACAAAGGATGGCTCATAAATTGAAGAATGTTAGAGAAAAACTAGCTGCCATTGCCAAGGAGAGACAAAATTTCCACCTAACAGAGGGGGCTATGGAGATGGAAGCAGATAGTTTTGTTCAGCGTCAGACTTGGTCTTCGGTGAATGAATCAGAAATTTATGGAAGAGGCAAGGAGAAAGAGGAACTAATCAACATGCTGCTCACTACTTCAGGTGATCTCCCTATTCATGCTATAAGGGGGATGGGGGGGTTGGGTAAAACAACACTTGTTCAACTGGTCTTCAATGAAGAAAGTGTTAAACGGCAATTCAATTTGAGGATCTGGGTGTGTGTATCTAC